CCCCCCCCCCCCGCGTTACGATTTTCGCGACCTTCACCGCTCACCCCCCCTGTCGTTGTGTTCCCCTGGCCCAGCTACGACAAGCACGTGACCCCCAACGAGCGCGTTACAGACTTCCGAACCTTTGTTAGCGGCGTCAAGGCGAACCATCTCAAGGGAGGGGTGCGCCTCCGGCAGTGCCAGGAAGAAGTGGCGGCGATTTTGAAGGACAAGGTTCTCGTTGGCCACGCTCTGACCAACGATCTTAAGGCATGGATTGATGGCTGAATGAGATAACACCAAGTAGGCCTGAATAGGCAATTGTACCACAAAAAAATCGCGTCTGCTTTGTTGTGCAAGTATTGTTGGATTGTGGCTTGCTTTGAGAATCTTCGGCGAGCATGTGTTTGGTATTCGATCCGTTAGGTTTTTATCGGTTGCTGGAAAAATGGCTCTACGTTTAAAGTTGCTTTCCTTCACATCAGATGAAAGAGAGAGTGCGTGATGTTGTAAAACCTCCGTTTCCCTTGAGCTTGTCACCCTCTTGCCCAAAAGAGAGAAAGGCAACCAGCCACCCAGAACAACGTTGTCGGTAGGCCTCGCGTGAGCGCTGCTTTACACCGCACTCGGCTTCCACCCACACCTCCCAACCGCTCAGCTGTGTTTTTGTGATGCCACGGCGCTTCGACCTCCCTCAGGCTTTGATGATGAGCCACCCCCCGCGCTGTACGCGAGACACGGCGACATATCGACCGTACCAGAAGGCGCACGGCAAGGCCGGCGGCAAGCTGCGACCGAGGTCCCTCAAGCTGCTCTCCGAGGAACACCTCGACCGTCCCATCCAGACAGGCCAGCACAACCCAGTGAGTAACAGATGTATACGTGCCCCGTTGTGATCATATTATCTACCGCTACGAGTATCGTCGGCGTTGTCTGTGTGAAGCTGTTTGCTGTTTTGGTCAACGGTTAGCCGAGGTCTCCATTTTTTTCGAGTTGAAAACATTTCAGGTAACCACCACCCAATTGCGGACATCGAGAACCAGTCACGCCCATGGCGACAGGTGCAGACAAAAAAATTACCGCACATTTTTTGTCCCTAGAGAAATTCGCCGGTCACCTCGTTGTTGCTATTTTGTTCACATTTCCAGGCGTTCCGGTCTCTGCTCAAACCATGGTACCTTCTAGCATCCGTACCTGTCCAACTGACGCCATCGCTTTCCTTGGCCACAGGCGAAGAACCCAATACGCACATCCGCAAAAAAACACCACAAATGCTTTTGGCACTGTTGTCCTTGTTGTAACCCCGGTTTCGATGGTTTGTGCTTCCCTCCCCCTTTCGTGCTGCGCGACAGGCGGAGGATGCCAAGGCGGCCATGGACCTGTACAAATTAGCGCGCTTCGAGTGGGAGAAGTCGCTGTCGGCGGCAGGAAAAATGCGAGGCCGAAAGAGTTTTGTGGATCAGCAAGGGCCCTAAGATGTTTGGGGAGCGGGAGAAGGGGTTCCAGTGGAGGCGGGGCGTTACATTTACGGGCATATGTGGCGACTGTGTCTCTGCGTGAGACGAGTGGTCCCGTGGAGCGACGAGGTTCTGACGCAAGTGTGAGAGGGAATTGTCCTCGACAAACGAAGAGGGGAGATTGTACCTTCATGAAGGCTTCCGTCACTCAAGGGTAGCTTGCGTTTTGAAACATGGCGCGGTGACCCCGTGTGACTCGGCTTGAGTTGGGGTCGGCGCCGGCTGCTGCTTTCAAGAGACGGTGGCTCTCGATTGCCCTGTCGTGTCTGCTGGGTTGTCCATGCGTATGTGTGTGCGTTCTGGCGTGGAATTTCGAAAATGGGAAAGCTGTCTTGCCTAAAATGCTGCCATGGGCTGGCGACGGTAGCAGCCAGCTGTCGGCTTGTTGACAAATGCCGCGATTAGTTTGCTGCTGAACGTGCTGCTGCTAAACGTTGTGTGTGTTGCCTCGTAGTGACCCTGCCAGGTCACAAGTACACCTACAATAGAGGAAGTTGAACTCTCTAGGTGTGTGGGCATGCGCGTTGGCGGCGTGTTGGTGTGGTCTGAAGGCCACCACGACGCTCCAAACCCCCTCGAGGCAGGGGCAGGATACACTCGCCAAGGTTGCCACGAGATTTTTCCGAGAAAAATCCTGGCGGTCAAGAGAACAAGATACCTGTCCGCCTACGGCCGTTATTGTCCTAGACTCAGGAATAGACCGTCATGTTCGTGGGGCATCGGGTGGCGCACGTGACATAAACACCAAATCCGGAGTCGAATGACAAGCGTTGTGATGAAAACTGACGTCGTGCAGTCGCCAGAGGTAAGGTAGTCAATCGCTGAACCATTTCTGGAGCGATTGCCAGCTTTTTTGGAGGAAATACCGCCTCCCTCATTTTCCGAAAAGAGTGCCCTCCCTGATTGTCGCGGTACTACAGCGGGGCGACTGGGAAAGACAGGGAAGCACATGAGAAATTAAGATAAGGGGACGTAAGCAGGTGCTGTAGATGTGTTTTTTTTTTCTTTCTTCGAATCCAGCAAACCGCACTGTTTGCAATCACGACACAGCAAGCCTTGGGAGCCTCCTTGTTTTCCTTCGACGAACACGAAAATACGCAAACACTACAGCACTCCACACTCGGGCCATCATCCTCAACATCCTTCTGTACACTGTCTCCCACCCCTATCCTACCACATTCATCCATTCGCCGGATTGGCGGAGGTCGGGCCGTCACAACGGGCTTGCGCCACGACACCTGCCATACCAAGGCAATACATAAATCAACCCCTCTTCGCGTTTTGCGCCTGCAGCCGTCTCCGCGCAGCCTTTGCTTCAGCCTTAGCCCTGTTGGCCTCCTCCTGCTCCTTCTTCTCCTTCAGAGTCAGGGGTTTCTTCGTTTCCAGCCCCGGGGTAGTCTTGGTCTTCTTGTTGCGGTTGCCACTAAGCGAGGACTGAGCTTGCTCTGGGTCCACGTCCGTCTGCGGAGAGGGGTTGGGGAGAAAGTTTGGGTCGAGAGGAAATTCCCTCGGATTGGCGGCGACACGACGCCTTGCGAGTAGGGAGCCGCAAGGCCAAGGAGCGAAGTGAATTGGGCAAACAGTGACAGGCCACGAAGGAGAAGAGACTATCGATACTTCGGGGCACGTACGAGAAGAAGGTGAAGGATTGGCATTACAAACAGGTAGTGTTGACGCACGACACAAGTTCCGAGTCATGCCTGGAGCACATGACACTTAACTCTGCGGCACCAGCCTTGTCTCGCCGAACGACAAGTGAATAATACCCTTATGTACCGATCGGACCGTCATGTGCACGGCAAAAATTAAGCGCGGTGCGCCAGACTATATCGGTAGACACACACGACAAATCAACGCAACAATATCCACGAGGGAAGCAGAGAAATGGGGATCTGACGTCAGGGGTAAACACCCAAAAGGCCTAACGTCGTTGGAGAGAATAAGGTGGCGAGCAAGCGTGGGACGGTCCGCGGGGAGTGCTTACCTCGCCCGCTTCATCGTGGACTCGCGGCTCAGCGTGTGCTTCCCACTGCAGGTTGGGGAGCGTGTTTTGGTATTCGAAGGGCGGCAACCGCACCCCGAACTTGTCGGGGATCGCCGGTAAGGGTATCCGGTTGACCTCGTCAGCCTGCCGTATTTGGTCCTGCGGAGAAGGGCAGGCGAAAATATTCACACAAAAGACGTGAGATAATACATAACAGTTGAATCTTGCAGCAGTGCCAGAGGGTTGGGGGGCGGCTGGGTGTACTCAGAGCCGTGCATGTCGTAGCCTTTAGACCATTGACCTCGCATTCCTACAAAAGCCGGGACGGAGCACGCCGGTTTTTCACCGGACCAGGCTTCCCACATCACCCTGCGGATTTGCTTGACCAATACAGCTGGGACGACAGGTGGATTCGCGCGCGTTACATTGCTTGGCCCAGCCAACAGCCCGCATGGCGGCAGGGCCTTGGAACGCCATTCATGGGCCCCGAAAAACGGGTGGGGTTATGGCCCTGAAGCCAACATCGGATAATATATCTTGCGTCAAAAGTGGCAATTGCACCACCTCGTAACATGCGGCGCAAGCGCAATGTGGCAACGCTGGCCCATGCCGTAACGGGTTTGGCCACTGTCCGGGTGGGGAGTCTTACGAATACGGCGTAAGGGTCGTTCCCGTACCTCTCGTGAGGGAGGGCCGGCGGATAGCGCATCCTGCTTCTTGCGCACGGCTAATCGCACGTCCTGCATGCCGAGGTCGGTTCTCCCGGCGTGGTCAGCGTAGTCCCTTGCATCAATCAACACCTCGCGCGTATATCCTTGCACATCGAGAGCGATCAGGTCAGGTACGTTATCCGCGTGCATGTGCGTATCGTTTGATTGATTCGGAGAAAAGTGTGTGTGCGCAAACCAATTGACAAGGCAAGTCCAACGTCCGCAAGCAAACTGTTGTGAAACCGAAAGAAAACAGTAATGAATAGGGATGCTTGGAACGTAGCGCTGCCGCGTGAAACCGGTGCCGAGTCCGCACACGTCACTGGGCACTCGTCGTTAACATTCGACCAAGACCACCAACACCGCACTTTGCTGCTGCTTGTGAAACAACCTAACTCACTGCGCATCCGATCCACCAGGTGGCTCACCACCCTAGGCTCGTAGGATGTCACCCCTGCATCCTTGAGGAGCTGTAGCGCGGAGAAGACAACACAATGCATTCGACGCGGGCAAGAACGAGGGAGGAGTCTGGGTATGGAAAACAACCTCCTGTTATAGCCACGGTGGACAATAGGCAACACGCGGGTTGGATCGAAACCCGGGGGGTCGCATCACTTCAAAATACTATCGGGCGGTTCCACCCGAAGAAACCGTTCTTTGGAACCGGAGGAGACCAACGAAAAACGGAAGGTGTTATGTTGGGCATAAACAACATGCCCTTTTCTCAGCCCAAAATTTACGACCACCTCTTAGTGGAGCAACGCAGAAGCGTCGGCTCGCTTCGCGAATTACGTAGGCAAAGCTACATTAAACAAAAAAAGACCTTGCGACAGACCCGCTACCCTAGAGCCCCCATTTCCAGAGGGAGCTATCCCGATGGAGAGAGGGACCGAGCAGCAACGTTGAACCACGTGTCCAAAATTGACAACGCGTAGCATACGTACATGACCCGCCAAAAGTCGAGTTCGCACTCAAACCAGAGCAAATCTTGCAACTGCTGTACTATGGCTTGTCCATTTTCAGGAGGAGTTCTGCACAACCCACCGCGCCCTCGAAGCACGCTTCAGAACGCACGAAAGACAGCGGACGGACTGAAAACGAAGGCGACAGTATGCATAGGAAGCCCGTGCCTCCGGTCTAGGAGGTAAAGGGGGGAGGGAAGGATAGGGGCACTCGTTCCAAAATTGCAAGATACAGCAGTACCCACATACAGAATGCGTATGATAGCAGTTGCTAACAAGCCGGGGTTGGAGGTGGTTTGTACGAGTCAGAGGTCGAGGGAATACATTGGAAGTAGTTCATGAAGAGCCTCTTGGGTGATCGAAGTACTGTCACATCGCATGAATCCATAGATGGGGAGAGAGCGGGGGGGGGGGGGGNGGGGGGGGGAGAGAAGGTTAGGCAGTTAGGAGGTAGACTGAGCCGCTGGATTGTTGTTGGCTATGCACACAACCACACACAGACTGCAAAGCTACATGCAATACGTTAGCAGGTGTAGCACGAAAGGAAGACAAAGAGACGTGTACAGCAGTACTCCGGCGAACCGCCACCCCAGCATGACATGAAGCTGGCGGTGGGAATCACGTGACGTCAAAAGTTGGTGTTTGCTACTTAGACTACTCGTCTGTGAACTGCTGGTGCCTACAAGAGGGATGGTCTAAAAGCGAGAAAACCCACAGTGGAAGAACCGAAATCCGCAGTTCCAACCACTACGAACAGCTTCCCACCATAATCCCTGCTGATATCAGCACTACGTACATGGTACACACTTTTCGGCTAGGCTTGGACAATTCTGCCTGGAGTGCGGATGATCAGATACAATCATGGGGCGAAGGCACCAAAACGTTGTTCAACACCGACCCGTACCCTGACAATCGATTTCTCGTCCCGCTGGTCCAAAGCCGCCTTTGTTCGGGCCTGGGCTTGGTGGAGAGGCTCTCCTGACAACAAAACCTTCTTCGACTTAGACGCCATGCTCGCTGTGGAAGACACGACTGCAGCTGCTTTGTGCGGCGCGGCCGCAACAGACAGACTGGTCGCGGGGGGTCTGCGATGAGGAAAAGCAACAGGCAGTTTCCGGCGGTTGGGGGGTGCCGAAAAGGCTGCCCGTGTTCCGGCCCTCCACTACCCAGTCCGGCCCTGTGCTGCAGCGGTGCAACCACGTCAGCACGTTTGAGTGTGAACCTACCTGCATCTGTGGTCTCTCGCTCTCCTTGCAGGGTCTCAAGCAACTGGCAGTCAGCAGCAGCCTAAGAAGGGGTAGAGGCGACGCGGATGCAGGGGGTTGAGCTCCAGGTTGGGTCGTCCTACCGCTCCCTGGCCTATACGGCCGGCAACAACAAGGTAGGCCGCTTGTTGCCGCGTTGCAGAAGCTGAGACGCATTTTAACTTCTGGTGCTTGATGTTGGCACCACCATCCAACATGGATTGATGCACTTGCGTGGTCCAAGGGGAGTGGCTGCCACGGCCGGTTACCAGGCGCTTGCTTTTGTGTGTAGTAATCGGACGGGGGAAGTTTCAATGATTGATGTTGGTCTGTTGCTCCTGCCGCGCCCCGAAACAAAGAGCTCGAAACGCTCAGGGTCTGTGCTTGTGCGTGCTCTCTCGGCGCCGAGCGATACCGCCCAAGCCGTTGCGCTACATGAAATGCTAGCAGGGTAGGATCCATAGGATTACTTCGTGCTCAACAACCAGGAAGCGAGTTGGAGAGGTGTTGGCGCTCTCAACTTCTAGTTGAACTTGTAGGGCATGTGCCGTTCCGTGCTTTCCGAAACGAAACTTTGTGCTTCGCGCCACCCTGGTGACGTCACTGATAACTCAGGGTACAGCCCAGATTTTCTCCCCCACTCACTGCAAGGACTGTCAGGACATCCCCTTCGACCGTGTGGTATTATTTCTACCGGTAGTGTTTTTGTGAATTGCTCAAGACACTACAGACCAGGAATGCCAAGGCCGTCACGGGTGTGGTCTAGCTATTCCAGTCCAGTTGTACGTCGGCGAATGTATGGTTGACACAGCTGTTGCAGCAGTGTTTTCGACGACACTTGTTTTGATTCCCGTGTTCTTACCCTGTATCCTTCAGAAATCCTTACCCTTACCCAAGCACCACCATTGATGTGACGTCAAGCGTACCGTGGATATTGCTAGGTTGGCGTGTGCACTGGACACAGTAGTCGTGATGTAAGGTCCGCTACACAACAATTTTTAGTGCGTGTGACAATCGTGTTCCGGGATGGATACCACCCAATACCACCACCCATTCGCCGCCCCTGAAGTCGCACATTGACACGTCCACGCACTTGACCAACACATCTCAGCAAGCACCCAAAGGCCAAAAACCCAGAACAATCGGTCGGTAGGAGTTTTCCGCGAGGTCGGTCGCCCCTTCCGGCCATCTTCGTTGCTGCTGAAGCAGCAGCAGCGCGGTGAAAATCTGTCTTTTGTTTTGGCGCCACACGTGCTGTGACGGGCCACAACGGACCTGAGGCTGCACAAACACGCGCTCGTCCAGTAGGGGGCAGATGATAAACAGGCTGCGCCCAACATGCGCCCAGCAGGGCAGATGAAACGATGAAACATTCACGGAATACATTGGTTGACGTGAGCGACAACCACATTTCCGCGTCAAGACCCCAAGGCGTTCGCGATACTCTGTACCTCTGAGACAGTGGATTTGTTTGAGAGCTATGTGCGGCTGCCATGGGTGTTGTGTGTCGGTTAGCAAAGCACCGAGGTGAGATTGCCCGGAAAACGTCATTATACCTGTTCTGTACTCGTTCAATACGTAGACCCAAACAAAGCATTTGTATGTACAACAGCACTGATAGGATGAACAACAACGTAGTCATCAAAGGAATCACGACGTCTTGTACCATACCACGGTATGGTTCTTTTACCTCGTCTGGTTATTTTCCAGGCAACCGACGGATAGTCTATACTCCTGGACCGATTTTCAAAGCCAGATCACCACACAGCAGAAGGAGTGGTTACGCCGAAAATGACAGCGTTGGAACAATCTCGTCGAGAGCTCGCCAAAAAAACATCCGTCGCAAACTGTTTGTCTTTGATGCATTTATGCACCCGGCTCGGTTTTCGAGACATTGCTTTTTACGGCGAAGCACCTGATGAACAAAAAATTCACACGAGGGCGGGATGGCGTCTGTACATGCAAGACACCTTCGTACCGCCAGTATTCGGTGGCCCATCTGTTCAGTTCCGCACAGCTTTACCAACCTCCTCCCCCGTCCCCCCAACACCCGATTGTGGCAATGTATTAGGGCCACGAGCAAGAGCTCCAGGACCAGGCATTGAATCCGCAAGAGCATCATGAAGTAGGAGGCGTTCCCTCCAAGAAGAAGCGTCGGGTGGGGGATAGGAGGCTACTGGCAGCAGCAGCAGCACCGGCGGCATCATTGACTCTACAAGAGGAAGAAGTAAGACTCTCTGACGAGCTATTTGACAGTTACGGCCTGGAAGAAATGCACGATGTCGAAAGCGGGGTGGAAGGACACGGGCTTTCCCTAGGAGTTGGGGAGAAGAGCAACAACGGGGAGTTGCACGAGAACGGAGGCGGAACTGTTCAAGGGTGGGCGCCGCCGGGGCTCGGCGTTTGCCAACTCTGGGCTCAGCAAGCGTCCTTGCTGAAACGCAAGAAGAGTGAGTTTATCCTTGATGGGTTGGTAGATGTTGGTGTTGCGGCCCTGCCCCACCTCATGCGACGTGTAGGTTCCGACCGACCGACGTGTTGAAAGCTTACGCGTCTCGTGCTACGTGAAATGCAGACCTTTCGGCATAGCACGTTCGTGGCTGAATAGTTTTCGTTGAAGCAATATTGGGGACTAGACAACAAATGCAAATGCAACAACAACAACAACAACAACAACAACAACAACAAGCACAAGACGTGCTGGGCAGATGTCCGAACAGAATGAATGTTTAGGCGAGGGGTCAAGACAACAACAACAGCAGCAACAGCAATAGCAGTATAATTATCGACACCCTCGTCTCCCTCTCGTGCCTCCTCCTCGCCGGCCCGCCTAGCCTCCCCGGTCGGCCTCGGTGTCTCCGCTTCCTTCTTCTCTTCTTCCCCCTCCCCGGCATCCCCTTCCGCGGAGCCCCCTCTGTCGTCCTCGGCCGGGAAGCGGCAAGCCGCCGCCGTCGGTTTCAGCGTCGACGACGCCGTCCCCGTGTCCCGGGATGACAAGGCAAAGCTTGTCGGCGGCTACCTGGGGTCCGCCAGGCCAGGCTACGGGGACAAGACTCGCAAGCCGGTCTGGTGGGCGGCTGAGGTGCCTTGGCGGAAGGGAGTGAGCATCAGCCAGGTGAACGCAGGGGATCGGTTGTCCTCGGAATAATGAAAGGATGGGGTGATTACCCACGCCAAGGATGGGCGTCGGCCGGGAGACTTGGGTGACTGCGTGTCGAAGAACAGCAGTATTGTGGGTTTGGCTGCAGTAGCAGGTTCCCTGCGAAGAAGCTGTGAGCACAAAGGCACTCAAATCCTGATACATACGTTTCATCGTATTGTCCGATGCCTCTCTTGGTGCGGAAAAAAAACAGATGAACAACGCCACCCTCCACAAGCTGGTCGTCGCTGTCAAAGCGCACCAGAGGCAGGAGCGCCGCGAGGCCCTCGCTAGCGGCAACGGGTTCGTGCCCGACAGCGGGCTGCTCGTGTGCGCCCCGAAGACGAAGAAGGAGATGTCCCGCCTCATCCGCTCCATCCAAGGTCAGTCCGCCAGTAGGTTCTTTCGTGGTTTCGCCCTTTGATCGTTGCACATGCTTGCTGTTAGAAAAAGAGGCGAGAAATAGTCGACAACAAACAAACATTCTCGTGTTCTGCGGCCAAAATATGGCTATCTCGTCGGTATTACACCAGTAGAAGGTGTATTTCGTGTTGACACGCTTCTTCGCGTGCTGAGCTTGTAGGCCAAGACCTTTGGAAGTATGCCGCTACCAAACAAAAGCGAGCAACAGCCAACAACACCGATATACCCGTTTTCTGCGGCGAAACTGTGGCCATCTCGCCATAAAGCATGCTGGGCCCGGCCTTGTGCACTGTTGAAGTCCCATGTCTTCGCAGGCGGACACAATTTTCTCGAAGAATGTCACGGAGTCTTACTTGCATCTCGTTCTCCGCTGTTGGTACACATCCGTGCGTCGGAGCAGGCCGCAGACTTCAGTACGGTAAGGACGGCAAGCGCCCTCCCTGGTGGCCCGCAGATGCTCCCTGGGACAGCGACAGGCCGTTGTCGACCATGAAGCACGGGGAGGTGACCAGTATCTTCAAGGCTATGTGAGTGAGGGAGGGGAGGCACAAACGCTTTGCCCATGCCTGAAAAACGCAGCGGATCAATCAGTACGGACAGTACGGAGGTACTGGATTGAGAGATCGGAAAGGTTTTTAATGTGAAGACAGCAGCGACAATGACAACACATCAACAGCACAGAGAAAATACCGGCGAAATGTGTTTTTGCCGTTGAAGCTCGAACGACGCCGCCCTGTACTCTCGCGAATACATGCTTTACATAATACTTTATTCCAGGCGGACATGGACCTGGCGTATCGCCCTTCCGAGTGTTGCCCATGTATGTTTGCGATAACCAAATTTGTTGAAAGTACATGCACATGGTTTACACACGCAATTGGGAACCGGAGCCCTCGACGCTGTGTGTCGTGTTTGTAGTATCGTTTTGCTTCTCCTCCCCTCCGTCGCACCTTTGGCAATGTAGGAAGGAACGATTGGCCATTGGTGATCATATCTGCAATGCTCCTTCCCTCCTCTCGAGGACGCGTAGCCAATGGCCTCACCGGTAAGGCATGCAAAACAAGAGTACGCCCTCCCTCGCGAGTTCACGATGGCCACGCGACCGAACCAATTCACCAACGGTCCTTGCGTTCATGAGCAGGATTCGCGAAGGGCTGTTGTTCGACACGGACAGCGGCAGCTCCTCCTCCTCCTCCTCCTCCTCCTCGTTCTCGTCCTCTTCCTTTTCATCTCCACCTTCCTCAGACTCGGACTCGGGAAAGAACGACAGCCTCGAAGGTCACCAAGACCTCCTCCTCGACCAGAGCGGCAACGACAACGTCGTAAACGGCGAGGTGGCCTGGGAGGAACGCCCGAACCACCACCGCAGCGGTAGAAGCGGCTTCTTGGGCGGCGACACGGACGGTGGCGGCTCGTTGGAGAGGCCGGCTTCTTTGCTCGCCATGGCGGAGACACACGGCCACCTGATGCCTGAGGCAGCCTCGTTCCTGCCCCAGCAGCAGCAGCAGCAAGTGGTGGCGGGAGAGACCTCCCCCAACATGTTCTCGGTTGGTTATGACATGGCGGAAGCCGAAATAAGCCTGGGCGATCTGTGATGAGAACGAATCAATTTGTGTGAAGTCGATCGATCCCATTATTGTTGCAGGAACCGACAAGAGTAGTTGAGAAGGGAGAAGGTGGGGATGGGGATCGGGCGGGGCAATTTTTTCCCCTGGGATGTATAAATGACGCCAAGTTCTTGTGACAGATGCTTCCTGTTTGCCTCGTGCGCAGAAATCATGCTATCTACGAAATGATCTACCAAAGAAGATCATGTCCGCGTTGGGTATCAAACGTCGTCTTCCAGTTGCGTGATGGGTATCTGTTTTCTTTTGTTAACCCTTTCGTTTTTGAGATCTTGAATACCGTAGTGTTTCTCGGATTTCATCAGTTGGCATCGAATATCATTCCCACGACCTCTAGCCGCGATCCATCAGAGGTGGTGTACACCAAACTCTGGGTTTGGAGGCCCCATGTACAGCTCGGGATTAGGCAGTGTTTTTCTTGATTGTTCGGCGGGGTCGGAACTCGGTAAAGGTGTAGAAATCGATCTCGTGTGGGTTGGATGTACCTGTCGGCAGTTGTATTGTTGTGGGTCTTGAGGCTCAAGTCAGCCTGCTTCTTCGCTGCCTTGTTCTTTTTTGCGGAGGAGCCAATCGCTTCGCTATGGCTGGCTACGTCTCGCTTTGTCGAGAAGGAGTTTGTGCATTCGATGACAGCGGTGGTCCCAATTTTGCGCCTAGACAGGGACACACCGATGCAAGACCAATGCAAGGAGGGGAGGGGGAAGGGGTATGGGTAGATAGTGAAAATTTGCTTTGGTTGGGGGAAGGGAGGGTTGCACCGTGAGCGGCCACAACGTTGTTGCACGAAACGAGGTTCCAATTTTGCGCCTAGATAGGGACGTACGTGAGGGGCGGGTGCAGCGCTGACAAAATGCACCAACAAACGGGGGTTCAGTTCACTCTTGTTGGTTTGTCCTTGGCAATGGCCCGGCCGTTGTTGTCACACACGATTGGGGGGTTGTGTTTTCGGTGGTCATCCCAATTTTGCTCCTAGAAAGGGACACCGAGAGATCGAGAGAGGGAAGGGTGGGACAGGAGAGCATGTGCATCGCACACGCGACGGACTCTTTTCGGTTATAGTTTGGGTTGGGTAGTGTGCTCGTTCGCCACGAAAAGGTCGAAACGATGTCGCACTAGAGCAGGTGGGAAAGTAAGTGGTGGATGGCGAGAGTCCCGATTTTGCGGCTAGACAGGGACGGACGTTAGGTGTGGAAGCGGATACAGCATACATTGGAATCATTACACACGTGGGGTTCACTTCAACGCTGATTGTTCTTCGGCAGATGAATCGTCTTGTTGTCGAATGGGGCGAATAGCAATCGATGGCGATGGTGCCAACTTTGCGGCTAGCCGGAGGCGGGCGTGGAGGATGCCGGAGGGAGGGGGTACGTATCGTGGCAGTGAGTGGCACAGAGAGGGGACGAGCCACACACGCCTTGATTTATTGCGAGTTTGCTTGGGAACTTTGGGAGTACTTCACTGGGATTCTTGGAGTCATTTTTTCGTCTTGATATGGACACAATTTTGAAACTGTAGACTGCATCGGGGAACGGATGGTTTCAGGCGATACTTTGTTAGGTTTAGCTTGTTGATTTCGATGCTCCTATGGTTGATGAACCGACCGTCGCACGGTTAACAATCCTTTGTGGTGCTGTCTCGGAGGTGCGCAAAGAGTAAGCGCAGTTTGTTCGAGGTGCGTGTGGAGCATGTTTTTCCACTTGTTTGTTGTGGGTGTGGTCAGAGGTCGAAGCGGATGGCGAAACATTTCCAAGAAAAAGAGGTCTTGGTGTCGCCCGTATTTATTTTGCTGGTCAGAACAAAATGTGCAGCTGAGAGCCCTACAGGCCTTATTCAACGCTTCCCTTTCGACAGAATGGGCGTAGGTTGGGTCGCACCATTTCTCACAATATCGGCTTGTTTTGTTTGCAAGGAGGAAGACGTGACAGCATTGATTGGTGGACTCGAAGCCAACCACAAAGCAATATTTGTATCTCCCTGGGGGGGAACGTGATGTGTGTCGTTCTTTACTTGGTACTAGTGTTGTATGTGTCTAGTCTCCTATTTCCAATCGAATATAATATATTGACGGTAGAGGAGGGGCAAGCCACGTTTTCAGATGACAGCAAGAATAGGCCGTTCGCCTCCGCTTCTGCGGGAGGGGTGGGGTGGGACTGACTTGGGTAGGTGTTTCGACGGGAGAGAGAGAGCAGTTGTCCACGCGTGGTTCACGATGCATGGAAAAAAACAAGAATGAGTTGTCGACTTGGAGAGAAAGGCGCCCGACGCTGGTCAATGAGTCACTTTCTGCCGGAAGATGCTCGGAGGGCGATTGAACAAAAACAGTGCTTCGTGCCTGCATCCATTTTTTCGTCTTGATATGGACACAATTTTGAAACTGTAGACTGCATCGGGGAACGGATGGTTTCAGGCGATACTTTGTTAGGTTTAGCTTGTTGATTTCGATGCTCCTATGGTTGATGAACCGACCGTCGCACGGTTAACAATCCTTTGTGGTGCTGTCTCGGAGGTGCGCAAAGAGTAAGCGCAGTTTGTTCGAGGTGCGTGTGGAGCATGTCGGTTGCTGTCGACTGATGTTACGGCGGTAGGGGGGCGCACTTTTTGGGGCGAAATCCACAATACGAGTACAGTAGGTGTCCCGATATAGTGCCGGCTGAATAGTGCCAAAGTCCGGTATAGTGCCGGTAAATTTCTTGACACAGACACAGGGCTGAAGAGTGCTAAACCGTCACTATTGAGGGCTGCCCGCTATAGTGCCGGTTCAGGCACTATCGAACCCCTCAGTAGTGCCAGTTCACACCCCCCACACAGCCTTTTTTCGCCTCAAGCCTTCCACGCCAACAGGATTCGGAGACGGTTTCCCTTCCAGCTACAAGTATAGCTCGGTTTCTCTCGGTCCGCGTGACATCTTCAAATGTCACGGTTTACCGAACGACTAGGTTCCACCAATAGGCTGGGTTTTCTGTAGGGAGGCGAGCGAAAAGAAGATGGTGGTAGTGACGAAAAATGGATATGGAAACTATAGCCAAGGATAGCAGTGACGATGCAGGAGGAAAATATGACGTTGAGGGAAACAACAAGAGAGCGAGATTACCTTCCTCACAACAAACGCCGCAGGGGCGCAGAATCCAGAGATGAACGCCCGAAAAATAGTGGGAAGATATCAATTGGTGAAGAGGTAAATAAATACTTCTAAGGAAGGATGAAAACACTCCGAAGAAACGCGTGTTCACAAGTACTAAACCTTGGCAGTCACGTAGTTCTCCTTTTTCTCGGTTGCTACCATTTCTATCTTTTATCCAGAGAATAGCTCAGCCTCCCCCACGACACCCTCACAAACAAATATTTGCTGTTTTTGACCGCACTGAGGCTGACGACGTCTTGTGGCTGGCCAGTCATTTTCTTGCTTCTGAAGGCTTGGTCTTCTCTCTAGCTTTTTATCGAAGGAACAGGGGAGTTCGTTATCTTCTTTACCCCTTTTTTAGGTTTCATCTGCTTTTTTGTGTGCTCATGTAAGGAGCACTACATCCATCCAAGTTATACCTCCAAATGTACACCGGGTGCATGCATGGGCGTCTTTCTTTCGCTGTCCGGGGTGCCTTTGAGGTTGCCTGAAGAATAATAATGGTACGGCCTTCTTGCAGCGAGGTGAACTTTTATCGGGCAGCACAGGCTACGGTTGAAAAGGCAGCAGCAACGTTCGTTTCACTAGCGAGTGCTTGCGCTGAGGTGGGAAAAGAACACCTGCTGTGCAACAAATCTATCTGGTCAATCAAGTTAATTTTGATGTGACCAATGCCGTGTTTTCGACAGTCCAAGAGCCTCACGAACCTTAATGAAGCCCGCCCACGTCGCCCACCTCACGTTTGATTTGAATACCGTTCGTTTGGTACTCTGTCAGCCCCGCAAAGCGCAAGCGCTGCACTCTGAAGTCGAACAGTCCTGAATAGTGCCAAGTCGGCACGATAGAGGGATTTTCGGGCCCTGAGTAGTGCCGTTTGGCACTATTCAGGCACAATTCTGAATAGTGTCGGTGCCTGGTATAGTGCCAGTCAAATCGCGTGGCCACATACCGGCACTATATCGGGACACCCACAGTACTTCGCACTATGAGAGACAACGCACAGGCAGCAGCAGCAGTCCCGTTTCGGTGCTCCTACAGCAGCATAGGACGCGGTCCCGAGAGGTTAAGTAGTTGTGTCTCCCGACCCGAAAGTAAGAAGTGAATTGACCCCCCTACCGTAGCGTCCCTCTGTCTACTTGGTGTGCATACAGCAGAACGATGCGACGAACTCTGCCGCTGGCGACCAAAGATAAGATCTTGTCCGATTTCATCATGAAATCACGTGTTTTTTTGTTCCCTCTTTGTTGTGTAATTGTTGTTGTTGTCTTCACATTAAAAACCGTTCCGATCTCTCTCCACCCAGTACCTTCGTATGTCCGTACTGATACAACACTCGACGCGGTCGATTCCCGTGGTCGCAGGCTAACTTACCCTAAAAAGGTACACAAATATAAAATGGCCCCGAGTGAAAGAGAGGCAATGGAATTTGATATCTGTGCGAACAAATTTACCTGCCGTCCACCTTTAATATGTGTCGCCTCGGGTGATACGGAAGGGTTCACCCCACTGCTGCTGTGTCGCATGGCAGTGGCACAAGCTCACATGAACACATTCATTTGGCATCCATGTTATATGGGGGTGACGGGAGTTCAAAGGAGTATGTGGCATAGGCATGTACCCGGAAATATTTTCCCGCGAAACAACACCCACAGCTCCGCCAAACAGCAGAGTGCTGTTACTGCTACTGCGAGTGCTGCTGCTGCCCACGCTCAACGGGACATTCAAACGAGGAGCGGTGTATTGTTGATCGTCTCCGAGCTTCTTCGTACCCGTGGAGCTCGGCGGGATTTTTTTGCTTGAGAAGGCCTGCAGTATTTCCAGTGCTGTTCCAGGTAGAAGCAATCAGCACGCGGCCGGTCGGAAAGAACGGAACACTCTCGCTCCAACGATACAGCAGTAGTACACGGCGATGCCGGGCCCGTTTTCTGTCGCTGAGGACCCAGGAGACTTCTGCACCTACAACGTCCACCATGGCTTTCCGGAAGGGCTTGTGAGGGGTTACAGGACCGGGTTCCTTACGGACATGGTGAGTCAGAGTCGGTTGCCGCTTGTGGAAACCTTTTCGCTGTGGGGCCCGATAGACTTGCTGCATCTCCGCGTTGTCGTCAGCCGAGGGCATCATCGATTATACACGAAAAAACACCCTCGCTGCCCCGTGAGGGGTAGTTCAGTAACTCGTGAGGGCTGACAGCGGGCGCAAGAGAGCGGGTCATGTTGGATTGTTGCAGGGCATCCAGTACCCCTTGTGTATGGTGTTCGTACAAGCAGTGCTTGTTGCTGCGCGGTTCCGTCGTATGCACTTTGCCTTCCGTATTTCGAGCTTCGCGCAGTAGAGTCTGCCTACCTGCTGAGTACCAGTGACTGTGGACTGACCGTGCTGGCTCGTTGAGTGCGCAAGGACATTTCGGAGCCTGCATGGTGTGCATTTGTTTATTCGATCCAGCTGGTGCAGGTTCCGCGATGTGTGCAGCAAGATGACTAGTTGCTCCCAGAACTTGTGTTTGGACACGGCAGAGTTCCCTCAAAATATAGTGCCCGATACAAGCCCCACGCCCCCTCCACGCGCAAGTATTTCGAGGTCAAACCCGTTACACAACTACGCCACTGCTGTAGCAGCAAAGGAGGAACTGCTGTGGTGCAGCTTGAATGCGTCTGTGTTTCTCGTATGTTAACTTCCTGTAGATCGTGTTTTGATTCCCATGTCAAGCGGAGGTGAGACATAAACTCCCGGTGGGTGTTGGTGCAATGTTGCTGTCCGCCGATTGTCTCCTCAGTACGCTCGCTGATGATAAAGAGTACCTCCTGCTCTCCGGCCACCGCCTCCTGTCTGGCCCGTTGTGATAGACTTGACACCATCATATTTGCTGCTCATGAAACACAATGCAACGTTCAACATGCACACCTTCACTATCGAGAGACGAAAGGGGGGTTGAAGAAAGTACCGACTGTCATCGCAGACGTCATTTTCTTATCAAACGTAGTTGGCTCGCACACCAAGCCAAGGGTGCAACCGAGAATCCACCGGTGGAACATAAGCGAAGCCTGCAACTCCGCGTAGCACGGCCCAAACGCGCTGCGCATATGTCCAGCCTTAATCCTTTGGTCGGGGTTGGCGCTCACCTCGATCGGGACACTCCGTTCCATCCACCCTCCGCTGGATTCAGTTGCTGTTGGCCGGCTTATCCATGAGCAAGTCTTTTTTTTGTGGCGTACACGTAGCGCCCGCACTCAAGAACGTAGCAGTCAAGAACTCCATGCCCAACATTTTGTCAGACATCAGAGCCTGAGCACCATTATATATGAACCCTACGCTTAAGAACTATATAGCGACGATTGGTAGCTTCCCAAGCTCGCGCGAAGTTCTCGGCCGACTACTATTGGTACTTAGTTTTTTAATTGTGCCCTGTTGTTGCCTGTGCTTGTCGAGGTAGGTTCGATTTCGAGATTTTGCGGTCTGGTTTGTCGTGAAAGTGGCGAGGATTGCACGGTTCGTCATGCACAGAAACGCCACAACATATGTAGGAACACAGCAATAACAACGTCCTCACCACGCAGGGGTTCATGACTGCCGGCAATTTCAAACGACGTAGATAAGGGTTCCAAAGTACCCATGTAAACGACGGTTCCAGTGTGATAGGATACCCCCGACTCCCCCCCCGCCAACCTCCACCTACCTCTCTCGCTCTCGCCTGCTGTCCCTCGCGGCCAGGACTACAACAACCTGTGCCAGTGCGAGTCCCTCGAGGACGTGAAGCTCAACCTGCAAGAGACGGACTACGACCAGTTCCTCTCGCAGGAGAACAAGGTCACCCCGGCCGCATTGCAAGAGAGGGCCACCAAGAAGCTGGTGGGTGTTGGGCTATAGCAGGAATGACCCTTGCCTTTCGTTCGTTGGCGTTGTCGTAATATTCGTGGTGACTGTGACGGTGACCCTGTTGGTGTTGGTGCCATCGTTGACCGTTACCGTTGCTTGTGTTGCAGCTGATGGGCCTTGAGGCTCTCTCCCGGAAAGGAATCGCCGCGGTGTCTATACGTACATCGTCGGCACTCCTTCCCGTATAGAGAGACGCTGCCTGGCTGCATTTTGGGATGATGTTGTCGCCAGGACCCGGCCGCCGCTGCTGTAGTTTGGGTCCTCTTTGAGAGTGGAAGGTCGACTTTCCCCGCCGAGATGTGACTGCCGCGCGTGTTGTCACCTCGTCCTCCTGTGACTTTCGCGGCCTTGTCCTGCCTGTGCTGCTGAACTGTTTGGTTAATCCGGAGGCACCCGCCAACACCGCGCTGTTTTCTTTGTAAACCGAGCACAACGTGTCTACTGCTGTTGGTGGTCATCCGGGATGTCTGTGTCAAACGTCTTTCTCGCCTACGCCCGAGACATGCATGGACATGCGTCCGCGTCCAAACGTAGAGGTTGCCCGTGGGAGCATGCTGGGTTTTGTTGAAAACAACATCTACCGCAACAATAACAATAGCAACAACGATGACCGCAATGGTGCTTGCGAGTGCAGGTAGTGGAGTTCAACTTCCTCAAGGCGCAGGCGCAGGAGCCACTGTCGACCTTCCTAGAGTACATCACGTACGAGTACATGATCGAGAACATCATGATGCTCTTGAAGGGCACCCTGTCGGGCAGGGACGTTAACGAGCTCATCGAGCAGTGCCACCCGATGGTGAGGAATGAGCTTTCTTTTGCTGGTGGCTAAAGCGGTAGATACACATGCTCTTGTGGTCTGTCAGTCGGGCTATGCTTGTGTGTCGGAGTGCACACGTCAGACAGGCGTGTCGTTGCTGTCATCGCTCGTCGTGCCATGTGTCCCGCGCCTTGATTTACCTCCAGGTAGAGCTAAACGGGAAAAAATAGGGGGCGGCCGTCCCACAACGGGAGGGAGACACTGGGGTGACCGTTGCAACAGTAGTGGCGCGTGCCGAGTCGTGTCGTCTAGTGTTGGGTAGAGCAAACGCTTTCGCGAGCGCGCTCGCTCTCCTTGAAAACAACCGCTTGCCGGATCGGTCGCGCTCAGATATGTACATAAGTATGAGGGACCCACGCTCCGGTAAAGCACCAGCAAACTAGCTGACCAAGGATACGAAAAGGAACATCCCACCCATCTCGTCTGCAACACCCGGTCTCTGGTTTCGGAAAAAACGCCTTGAAAACAGGTAGGTAACCAGAACGTACTTGACGGTACAGAAAGGGGTAGCTGACGCACGAGCTTCGTTGCCGTTTGCGCTGATGTCGTTTCGCGCACAATAGGGTCTGTTCAAGGACTCGACGATGCGGCTTATCCCGGCGTTCGAAGCTTCGCCGAAGGGGTACGCCGACCTTTACCAGACCGTTCTCGTCGACACGCCCATCGGCCCGTACTTCAGCCAGTTCCTGGAGCAGCAGCAGGAGAGGCTTACCAACGCGGCCCAGGTGGGACACGCAATCTGTACGTAGTGCACCCCCCAAAAGACAGAAGAATGAGCAGCCCCCCGCCCCCCGCACGGGTCGGGTCGCGGGATCTCCTACAGGGGAAATCTCTCCACTAGTAGATTGCACCGGGCGACGCAGGCAGTGGTTGTTTACGGTGTCGGTGTTGCTACGGAAGCACTTCCCTACCACGGGCTTTGGTGGCAAGAAAGGACTCGGCTGCCGAGCAACTGGCGGCTGTCGCGACTGTGGGCAACAACAAAGAATTGAGTGTGTGTTCGTGTTTGTATGTGTGGCACCTCGGCTCCTTTGGACGACGGCAAGAATTCGCGTACATGCGTAGAGACACATTGCCGTAGACATCCTTCCCCCGAATGAAAGATGATGTAAGTGTTTTGGATTCATTTAGTTTAGCCCCTGTTCTGTTCGAGGGCCAAAAACCGCTACTGCTGTAGGTAACGTTTGGAACGAACCTGTCGACACTGGGTCGTGTCACGACGCACTTGGCCTACCTGACAAACATTCACTCAACCTTCCACCCCTCGCCTGGGCCCGTCAAACCGACGTCTCGCGGCCGGCGTCATTTGTGTGCAATACTGTTAGGTCCGGGACATTCTTGAAGAGGTGGAAATCGAGATCATCAAGAACTCGCTGATGAAGGTGATATGGGAGGGGCCACTTGAACTGCGTGCCGAAGGAAAATGACCTAATGAATGAATTCGTCTGCCTGTGTTTTGATCAAGTTCCTTCGTTGGAATGGGAAAAACGATTTAGTGCAGCCCCGGTCTCAGTGTCCCGTCCGGCTGCGATCAACGACAGCCGCAGCGGCGGCGGCGGCGGCGGCCGCGGCGGCGGCGGCAGTAACACCAACAGCAACAACATGAACCTGGATGACGGATGCGCAACGAAGTCGTACTCGACCACTGTAACGAACTAGATAGTACTCCACGCCGTTCCCCTCAAACGGGTTTTCAAACATTTTCTCCCTTACCGACGAAAAATCCTGTGTGTCCGCGCGTCATGTCTTTCTTCTCGTTCTCCTTTCACTTGTGTCCTCGTTGATTGCAGTTGTACCTTGAGGACTTCCACCGCTTCTGCAAAAGCGTTGGCGGAGACACGTCGACGGTCATGTGCGAGCTGCTGGTACGGAAGCCATACTCTCTGCATCTATACTGTTGTAGTGCATGGACGACTTTATTTTATAGTAATTTTTTCGTTCCTTCAAGGTGGGCACGAGGCGCACCCCGGCCTCGCCTGTAAACTGTTTCAAGACATTGGACGATGTTGTTGCGATAGTAGGTTGTTGCTAAAACTGTTGTAGTGCATAGGCCGAGTTTATGTTATTGTAATTTTTTCGTTCCTTCAAGGTGGGCACGAGGCGCACCCCGGCCTCGCCTGTAAGCTGTTTCAAGACATTGGACGATGTTGTTGCGATAGTAGGTCGTTGCCGTTGCCGTTGCTGTTGCTGTCGTGTTGGAGGTAAATATCGGTCTTGCAACTAAATACCTCCAGAGCCCGGACCACACAGGCCTCACTTCGACCTATTATTTTTTCTACGTCTGTGTTGGAAACCCGGCAGGAGGCTCGCGCCGACCGGGGCGCCATCAACATCACCCTCAACTCTTTCGGGGGACCGCTGAACGAGCCGTCCATGCGCTCCACGGACCGCCGTCGGCTGTACCCAGCTATCGGCACGCTATACCCGGAGGCGACGAACTTGTTCCAGGTTAGTTAGCGACGCAGATACCGCAGCAGCAGCATTGCGGTGAGATCTTGAGGGACTTGAAGCGTTCTAGGTTAGTCAGCGGCACAGATACAGCAGCAGCAAGCAGCAGTAATGCAGTATAATCTTAAGGGATATGAAACAGGCTCGAATAGATGTTCAGCAGGTGTCACTCAATCCTCACTCGAAAGACTTGAACGCATCCCCTCTCTGACAGACTTCTCGAGCGTGCTTTTTTTTTACAGTGCAGGAGCAGCAGGGGGATATCTCACAAGCGGGGGGAGGGGGGGATGTTGCCGTTCCGTCCTCGGGTCGCGCAACACAGCAGCCTTCAAAGACGACGCCCGTCGTCAATATTTATGTCGTGGTCAAAGGCAGGAATGGTTGTGGACGCCATTTCGAGCACGATCACCGCGAATCTAGTTCCAAGACCAGTGCATGTGTTTGTCCGATATTTTGTATTTTAGGGGCAGATGGAACGCGGGGACTTGTTGATTGTCACTTGTGTTGGTGTGGCCGCGTCCTTTTCCGGTGTTGCAGCAACCCTCAGGACGGTGAACACTCGCGCACATGTTTTTCTCGAGTGCTGTGATCTTGTTGTACCCCTCCACCACCGTGTTTTTTAGATCAACTGAGCATCCACCGCTTCTCCCTCCGTTTCCTATCCGTTCTGCCTAATGTTAGTGGTTCCACCCCCCTCTCCTGACTTCTCTTCTTTTTTTATCTACTTTTATGGTTCTCTCCCCCCCTGGCAGGAAGTTGGCGACGAGTCCCAGCTAGCGGCCGTTCTGGACATGTACCCCGTGTACAGGGGCATCTGGGCCGTTCACCAGAACGAGGCGTACGGGGACAAGGTGAGGCATCACAGGTATCACAGCAGTATTATACCCTCCTCAGCCACTCATGCCTAACTTGAAACTCGAACAAGGCGCTCACATTGTGTGCCACGAAGAAAAACATCGGCGGAGTGCTTGCTGCTCTCCTAGGGGTTGATTCGCGTTGCTCAATTTTTGTGTGTTGTGCTCTGTTGTTACTTGCCACTATTGCGTTCGTTCTGTAGCAACACTGAAAACTTGAAGCAACACACTTTCCCCGTTGTGCCTCGAAGAGCATCTGCACCCGCCTCCATCACCCGTGCCTGCGACCTAAAACTTGGACCAACACGCTCATGTTTGTGCGTGGCAGAAAACACCGGTAACGGTCTAGACCGCTCGTGGCTGACTTGAAACTTGAAGCGACATCACCATGTCTCGTGCAACACGAACACGCCGCGCTCTCATTCAATCCGTGCCCGCTTGCTTGTCAACCCCTCCCGTTTTGGTGTTCACAGTCGATCGACGATGCCTCATTCAATCCGTGCCCGCTTGCTTGTCAACCCCTCCCGTTTTGGTGTTCACAGTCGATCGACGATGCCTTCTTCGAGAGGGACGTGGATATGCTGGAGCTAGCGTTTCAGGGGCAGATGCACTTCGGGCCCTTCTACGCCTACGTCAAGCTGAAGGAGCAGGTGAGAATAATTTTTTCCTCTTGTCGGAACAGTACCGAAGGAAGTACACAGTTCAGACACAAGAGTTGCCTTTGGAGATTCCGGTAGATGTTGTTTCAACAGAGCGCGCATTGAATGTACGTTCCACTGTATTCAGCTGACAAGGCTCCCTCGTTTTTCGTAACAATTGCGTCACTGCCAAGTGTGTCCAGGCTGTTCTGGGGATGGACGTGAACTTATGGATACGTCCACGTACCTGTGAATATGTGTACAAAAGTCCGGATGCACGCGGCGACAGTGGCAGAATTTGCCTCGTATCGGTCTATTCGGACCCTCAGAGAGGTGTATGGGTCACTCCTCGCAGGTGGTCCTCACTAAAAGACACATGTGTGTACATAGTCCCCTGCGGTGAAAGAATAATAAAAAAAATGCTTGCATTGCCTACCCTAGCTTAAGTTATGCGTGCCCTCCCACCTCGATTCCCTCTCACGCTTCCCTTCTCCCATATAGGAAATCCGCAACTTGGTATGGATATCGGAGTGCATCGTCCAGCAGCAGAGGGACGAGATCGGCAAGTACATCCCCCTGTTCAGCGAGAACGCCTCATGGAAGGTTGCTCGCCGCGCTGGGAGATAAAGAGAGAGAGCGAGAGAGAGAGAGAGAGATCGCCGCTTGCCTGTCTGCCCTGGACGGAGCAGCGAGCGATAGCAGTCTAGCTAGTTTGGTGGGATGCTATCCCGTTGGTGTGTTTTGCCGCCCCGTGTGTGACGTGCTTGTGGACCCCGGCGCAGGGGGCTCCGGCGTGTTGTACCTCTTTTTGGTGCGAGCTGCCGACGGAGAGACGTTTTGTACCTCTTTTTGGTGTGAGCTGCCGACGGAGAGACGTCTTGTACCTTTTCTTTGGTGCGAGCTGCCGACGGAGAGACGTTTTGTACCTTTTCTTTGGTGTGAGCTGCCATGCTGGAGGGTGGGGAAGGTGTGGAGGATGGGTTGGAATGTGGGATGATGTGGGATAGCGGCATGATTCGTATTTTTCGAGCGATGACGCAGAAGACGTGGGACGGGAATAAATGGCGGTGGCGGCGCTTGTTTGGCGTTTGATGGAGAACGCCTTGGTGGCCACCGACCTGACGAGCGGCGGCAATATTTGCGGGGTAATGTCCAGCGACGGTTATTTGCAGCGTAATGTCTAAAAGCGAGGGATACGCGCCGCGCTTCCGCGAGAAGACCGTGTGGTATCTTGCTGTTTTGTGCTGTTGGAACTCCCGGCGGCAGCCGGCAGCCGTGGCCTCGCCGCACCCCCCGCCCCGGGTTTTTGGAGTCGCGGTGCGCACAGCCGTCAGCTCTTGCCGCCCAGAACTGTGGGCGTGTCGAGGGGGCGTGAAGTTGCGGCTTGAGTTATGGCCTTCCCGCCATCGCAGAGTTTGTTTATTTTTCTGCGCTTAATCTGCTAACCAAATGGCGTTGATTTGATTGACCATGTACTTGTTTTGTGTCCAAGCTGGTACGGGTGACAGACGCGTCGTACGGCTTGGTAAGTCCGTCATGTTCGGGAGTCTATTTTTACGCGAGTGACCGCTCCGCCGAGGTGCTCCTTGTGGTACGCGGACTCGCCCCCCGTCCTCCCCCCCCCCCCCCCCTGTCCACGTTTGCAGTTAGGTAAAAGGTGTAGTGCCCCCGAAAGTATGGTCGGTGGCGATGTGTACTTTTTTTTCGTTCGTTGTGTCCTCGTCTCTTTGGGAGTGTTGGACCGCTAGCTTATGTTATCACGTTTTTTGTGACACAACGTGAGGTCTTGACCTGAAACGTTCTGGGTGGGCGCAGGAGATGGGAGGGATTTCACCTGCCCTGAGTATGCGTTGGAACAAAGGCACTCTTCGTCATGCACTATTTTTGCTCTTCGTGTCAAAGCGAGACGGGCAGGTTCTGTACCTACCTACCCTCTTGCGGCGATTTTGCGGTGTGTATCCGACGTGTCTGTGTGTTGTTGACGCTTCAAATTCCCGCAAAAAACAATGTTTCTGCTGTTCGTACTTGTGTCTGGATGTCTGCACGACACAGCAGAGAGAAGCTTCCCAGAAGGCTCAAGTCTAGGCGCGAGGCGGGGGGGCGTTTTTCCAGCGGGGCAATCACGGCATCGATATCAATGTACCCTTCCAGAACAACGCATTAGAGATGACCCTAACCAACCGAGGAGCCGCCGAACGGCGCAAAGTCCCCGTCGGCGTGCGGGAACATGACACCCATTAGCAGCAGCCTTACAGCCGATGTTTTCATCTTACTGCTGTAGGGCTCAACGGGCGTTGATTGGGACTGGGACAACAACACGTTCATATGGAGATTCGGTTCCCGACACGACACTCCCCCTGACAACACCTTCCTTGGACGCCTTTGCGGCGCACGGAATTAGGCCTTGCAGCCGGCAGTCTTCAGAGCGGGGGTTATGACACTCGCCGGCTCTGTCGCTACAGGCATTTCTTGTTCCCACGCGAGTGTAGTAGGCACACGCAGCTGCCTTGCGTCATGCGCACGAAACCACATTTACACCCTCCTTTGACCTCGAGGAGCAGAAAGGGCAAGATAAGCGTGTCGTCGCCATGGAGATGCCCGACTCAATTCCGAGAGGGACACGGGTGACGCCCTCTCCGCACCGCCGAGGGGGCTAGAGCCAAGCTAAATGCAACGAAGAATAAAATAGGAAGTCACGCCTCGTTCAAGCAACAAGTGCTTCATGCACGCAGCAAAAATGGGGACGTCGCGTCTGTTCGCTTCCTTGAAGCAACAAGTGTGTTTTGATGTACTTGGGACGGAGATCGACCCTCAAGCAATGCTCAAAGGCAGCATGCACCACACGAACCACGCTCTCGCCACGATGTCGTCAAGCAACGGCAAGCAACCAGCAACCATAGAACGCTCCAAGGGCTACTCAACGGAGGCACGACAGGGGTCAATCTCCGCCACGATGCCGTCAAGCAACTGCAACCACCGCCAAGATTGCTCCCGCAAAAGTCTGTCTCGCTATGCTCTTGGGCGCGACACACACAGCAGGGACCCCGCAAGAAAACTCACACCGTGCCCCCCCCCCCCCCCCCCCCCCCCCCCCC